TGGATGGGCTGGGAGGTCCCTTCCCACCCAGGTCATTCCATGATTCTGTGATTCTATGATTGATTTTCACTAAACATCCTGGGCTTTTGGGAAACACTGGGGTTTGGGCACTATTGCTGGGAACCAGACAGCCCTTCGCTGTTTCAGGAGGAAGCACAACGCTTTTGAACGGGACATTTGCTCTTACTCTCCAGCTACTCTGACCACAAAGTCAGGACTGTGGTTTGCAGCTTTCAGCACTATATAGGTAATAGGAATAAATAAAAATTTAAAAATCCCATTTTTATACCAAGAGCCAATGAAAATGCCCTGGGTTCGTTTTCAGGTGAGATTTCTGTTGGTCTGGTTTGAGGTGACCTATGCAGGGTTAGCTTAGCACACAGGACTGTTAGTGTCCCAGGGTATATTGTAGATATACATTTCTCAAGTAAAGATATCTTCCTTTGGTAAACTCGGGCAGAGCCCAAACAATTCCAAGAGGAATTGGAGCCAGAGCTCAGACTTCTCTGGCAGCAACTGGTGCATGGTACACAACACTCCTGGGGGAGAGGCTGTCTGCAGGCAGGGGCATTCAGACTGCAGGCAGGGGCATTCAATCTGCAGGCAGGGACATTCAGATTGCAGGCAGGGCCATTCAGACTGCAGACAGGTTCCAAGGCTGCTGCCGAGCCAAGGACCAGCTGCTGAAGAGCAGTGACTGGAAGGACCCTGGAAGTCCTGACAAGCAGAAAGCTGTGCATGAGCTCTCCATGCAAGGCCATAGCGAAAAAGGCAACAGATGCAGGAAAATAGTAACTTCACTTCCGTGTGCACCCCTTAGCAGCCCTGTATCCCCGTTTCTTCCCCCCTGCCTGCTCAGACTGATGGTCCCCATGCCCTAAGGACATTCCCTTGAGGTTGCCCTCCCATCAGCCACCCCTTTTCCCAGGGCGAGAGGGGCAGGACACACACAAAACCCTCTACCTGCAGCGTGGGACCTCAAAACTGCACGTGTAGTGGCAAGATTACATATACAGCACTAAATGCAGCAAGGTCCTTATTTTAAACGGGACCTGATGGTGCTCCTGGCACACAAATCAGAACAGAAGTGAGGACGGATTGGTTTTCCATGCATTTAATCAGGGATGTAATGGTAAGCCCTGCCAAAGGTCAGGATGCCAGGGGCATCCTTCATAGCAAACCATCACTAGCATGACTGCCAAATTTAGTGTCTGATGAAATGGGAAAGGAACTAAATCTCCAAGTCAATACAGAACCAGTGACCTCAAAAATCTAGGGGAAGCTGGCCAAATACATAAAAACAGAAAAATTCCATGAAACATGGCCTTACTTTTTCGAAATATGACTAAAAATTGACCCAACCAAAATGAAATTAAATACAACAACATTTAGCTAGGAAACAGGGAAAAATCCCAAGTAATAATGAGTGTAAATCAATATTTATAGTTTGCGAATTTTTTCTCCTCTCAACGTTGTTTTTATATGATACCACTGGAACGAATGCAAAGCCGCTTGCAGCTTCAGGGAAACACTGCGTTCTTCTTGGTCGAAAAGGTTTGGTTTCTGCTGCTTGACACAAAGGGGAGTCTCCACGAATGGCTCCGAGTACAGGGGAGGGAGGAAGCAATGCAGCAGAAATCTGCACTTGTACAATTATTTCCTCCTTCATATTATTTAGCACCTCCGGAATAGTTTCTCCAGCAGAAGTACCCCTGCTCTTCCCATGGATATGAGGATAGAGAGATGGGGAGAGCCATGATCTAATCTCATCCCCTTTTTTTTCTCAACAGGAACAACCAAGCATGCATGACTTCAAATCATCTGAAAGTGATTACGGTGGCGAGGAGAAATTCCACACTTTGCTTTTCGGTTGCACATTGCAAACACACAAAGGCATCTGCAAAAGGCAGCCACGTTCTCTCACATGAAGTTATAAATTACTCCAATGAGTTCTTTTCTTAAAAAAAAAATCATATACAAGGAGCAGAATTTGTTAAGTGCTGGAAATCGAGAGGCGGGTCATTTTTCTTATCAGTCTGAGAGCAGGGGAAATGGCATCCAAGAGCCAGCATGAATTATTCCAGTGCTGTAGAAACAGAGGAGGATACAAAAAGCCATCCCAAGCCAAACTGGAAGGCCGGGGCTCCATTATTTATTTATTTTGGTTTGCCAGTGGAACTGACAGTAAGGTAAGAAAAAGCCACTTTCTTGATTAATGAGGTGAAAACCCTCCCCCTCACTTCAGACCATTACATCGGAATAATGTGCTCCAAGCCTTGATAATGAGAGACGGGGCTGCCCGAACCCCTAGAAATTCCCCTGCATCTTTAAACAATTACAGTGGGGGTTTTTGCCCCAAAAGTGGGGGTTTTGCCACTGCTCGGCCCTGTAAAATGGCCACGTTGCTAATTAGGCTGCACGTTTTTCCCACCAGCCCTGCAACACCTCAGACCTCAGCTGCACGGAACTCCTTGAAAACAATCAATTAACCTCAGCGTCATTAGACATGAATTAAAACACAGGCGCAAAGAGGTGAGCACCTTGCAGTGAGTCTGTAGCAAAGACCAGAAGCACAGCCTCTCTTTTTGACCCATCATGGTCCACCAGGTTGTTCTCCAAAGACCAGCATGAGTTTTTGCAGCCACATGCACTTGGACCATCTCGGTCAGCACAGAGACCTGGAGTAACACCTGAGACCTTGGTCAGCCCCCCCGTCCTCTCCCGCACCCATCGTACCGGGAAGGCGTAGATGAAGATCCCTAGGAAGAGCAGCAAAATGAAGAGCACGATGGCCAGGATAACCACCCATTTGTACCGCCGCCACAGGATGTACTTCAGGGTCTTGTACGGGGACGTGAACCACAGGAAGGAGGTCTCCGGGCGCCTGGAGCCGAACAAAGTTGAGGTCACTTCTGGGTTTCACTGTAGTGTCACCCTCCTGGATCCCCAACCACATGAGCACACTGTAACGAGCTGGATGCTCACCCTGCAAACCCACATCCCTCTGGGCGGACCATGTCAAATGCCTGCCTTGGTGATCCAGACCCACCTTCCAGCCACCCTGGACTGTCTCAGCTCATACAGTCTGAGCATCACCAGTTCACAAACCCAGCTTTCCGATTTGCTCCTTGAGAACTCTGTGCCCTGGTGGTTATTTTTCCATTCAAGATGCACTTACTTGGGGTCCTCCAGCTTGGGGTTCATATTTGGCTCATCCCGACCCATGCCAGCTGGCCGCTCCTCATGCTCTTGCTCTGCCACAATTTCCAAAGTCATTTCCAATTTGCCCTGTGTGGGTTAAAAAACCCCAAAGTTATAAACAAAAAAAACAACCAAACAAACAACACCCCCCCCAAAAAAAAAGGAGAGGTGAGAAATAAATGTATTATGCAAAACACTGGTTGGGGAAAGAAAAAGTACTTTGAGCATAACCCAACAACTACCAACAAGGATCCTGAGGAGCCCGGTGAGAGTGGATTTCACACAGATCACTCACCTGCCCACTGCAATGTTCTCAGCAGATACCCCAGGACCTCTCAAATGTCACCAACACCCAAGTTCAGGCAACTGACTTGAGGGTCTTTTGTCCAATGACTTAATTCAGTGCCTGGACTCCCATACCTGTACTGAACAGTTGCTCGGACACTTACATTTAAATATATTGGTCTGACAGCTGAAATCTTTCCCTGGTACTTGTCACAACACAATATCATTAAGGATAGATGTGATACAGAGTCAAAGTAGAGTCACGTTCCAAAAAACACAGCAAAAATCCCACAGAAAAAATCATTTCTTCTGAGGCATTTGCATGGTGCTGAACAGATCCTGGAAAACATCCCGCTGACAAAAGCTGGTCCGGTTTGTAAAATTTGCAAGCCAAGACTGTGTTTCTTGCCCTGAGCATGGCATCCTGCATGTGCTTGGCCCAGCCATGGCCCTCCTCAACACTTTGAGTGAGTCCCCAAAGAGAAATGTGAAGAGGACACCTTACCGTCAGGGTCTTCTTTTGGTTCTGCTCAGCAACACAGGGCCACCATCCCTTGACAGTTTTCTGTTCAAAGAGTGACACAAAGCGACTTGAAGACAGGGTCTCATCTACTAGCTCTAAGGAGCACTTCTCAGCCGTCTTGGCAGGTTTGGGCATCCTGTTGAGATCCATCTGAATGGAGCCTGCAAGGAGGAACGTTACTGGGAAGACATCTAGGTGCAACAGGTCCTTAAAACGTGGACTTTTTCCCTGAAGAAATATTCACTCTGGCACCCTCTGGACCTTGGGGAGCTTGGGCAGACACCCACACAGCAAGGTGGAGAGCAAGTTCAAGTGCAGCCCTATTTTCCAAGCATAGTGCTAGTTTTAGCCAGTGACTCTGCCTAGGAATTGAGCACTCGGTATCCCCATTGCGCTTAGGAAGACCTGCGCTATGAAGTCCTCCTAGAAGATAATGCAAAATACCTGCTGACTTACGCAGCTAGGACGTTGGATGATTTGCACTGAAGTCAACCAGGCAGGCTGAGATTTTTACTGAAGACTAAGAGATGTAGGTGAAACTCAAATTGTACACACCCACAGCCCAGTCAGTATAAGAGCATTGGGCAGGAGACGTGCCGATCTCCAGATATACGCTATTTTATTGCCCCACCCAGGTGAGTAATTGCAGCACACTAAATATGAAGGCTATCCCACAAAACTGATAGCTTCCTATTGATAGCCAAGAACACGCACAGGGTCTGGTCCTGTGGCTGAGCTGAGGGACAGCAGCTTTCTACGCTGCTGTGGACAACTCGCATTCAGTTTCGTACTTGTATTTGCAGCTTTTCTGTGCCACAGATTCTTACAACCAGTGACAACAACAGCACAGATCAGGTTTTTTGTGAAACGCTTTTGAAGTCCATTGATGAAAAGTGCTTGACAAAAGCCAAATACCATTTTTATTTGTTGGAATTTGCAAAGAATTAATGTTGGCAGTCAAGAGCTTGTGATGTGCAGAGCCAGAACTGGAAAACACACCTTGGAGAGGTTATTTTGGCACTCAACCTATGTAATTAATCAAAGACAAGATTTGAAAGGATCTTGCTCACATACTTCCGCAGTGAAGCTTTTGATGTTTGCGGGTTTTTTTAGTGTCAAAAAGAAAGGTAGAACAAGATCCAACCAAAAAACTTGTAATGCTGGAGCCTCCAGCTCCTGCAGAGATAATCTACTGCATGACTGTACTATCTTTCCTATTAGAGGTTTTTGTTTTATTTTTTTCTTGGCCTAAACCTAGGTTTCTGAGGATGATGAATGAGGTTAGCACTGAAAAAAGGCAAGTGTTAGATTGAGCTGTGTTCATGTCTAAATATCCCAGGTAAGGCAAGGCAGGAGCGTGATCCTGCCTGGTGGTCCCAACTCAAACACACGGTTAGCCCTGAGGAGCACATTGCAGCACAGACTCAGCTGAGTCACGGAGAACTGGGGCCTTGCTGGAAGGTGGTGGCTCTAGGGCATTTGATGATGCTCTCAACATTATGTCAGCCCAGGAACAGGCTGCTGCAGGCTGAGGCTGGAAATCTGCCTAATACGAACCACTTATCATCAGTCCTGAACTTATGCTGACACTGGATCCTGTTTAGTGGCTTAAACTGGTCTGGTTACACTTTCTTCGTACCCTGAAAGGATTCAATAATTTTTTTCCTTCCTGTCTGCTTC